GTAAAATCCCCCCCATCACCTCTGTCGGCGGGCTTTTTTTTTTTTTTATCAACACGCTACCTATCTGATATACAAGAGCTCAAAATCTATAACCCCTCGAAGGCTTATATCGAGGGTCCGAAGTCTCATTTTTCGAGTACTCGCCGTACCCCTAGAACAAACTTTTTCATCTGCATGGGTAGTTAATGTTTCAGTCAACTGGATAAAGAGAATATTAAAAAATATTATTCGAAACTTTTGATTTGTTGTTGTTGATTTTGTAATGATCAATTCTATTTTGAATGTTTTTAGACAATTATAAACGAATAACGGAGCGTTCTGAATCTGTTGTGTCATCAATCTCTACACCATCATTATCTGATCATGAGCAATCACCACCATTGCATACTAAAAAAAATATTGAAAATTCAATCGAAAAGATGAAAAATGCAGAACCATTTATCTTATCTCGTAATCTAATGAATTTGGAAACATTCTCAACGCCACCAATCACTCACAAAATGAATGGAATCAATAATAAAAATGAATCAAAAAAATCTCATAGTGATAAAAATTTATTAGATTCCGATGATTCGTTATCATCATCTGCATCCTCTCATTCAAACGCATCATCATCAGAAGATGATCTTTCATCTCCACGAAATAGTCTAAGAAATGATCAACGACACAAAACATCCGCATTCACAAAACAGAAAAAAAAGATTAAAACAACAATTGATCATTATTCATCGTCTCCATTGTCATCGCCTCTCATTGATGTTAAAGAAGATCAACCTGAAATTAACAAGACAAAAATAGGTAATGTACATTAGTGTAAGAGATATTCAATTGTGTAGTATAGAGAGAGAGAGATTCATTGGATCTATAAGATTAAATTTTATTTTCTTAGAGTATATCAAATCGTTTATGTTATAGGGATACAAATAATAGCAAGAAGTCGCACAAAACATGTTAGTCATACAAATAAATTTGAATTTTAGTAGAATTATTATAATAGAAAAAAGAAAAATCCAAATAAAAAAATAATATCCTTGAATTACATAGAGAGAAGAAGAAAAAACAAAATTTGCATATATAATTTCCTAATAAAAATAATATTATTATATTTTTTTGTTTGTTGAAAAACGACACTTAAAAACTTCAGTGTAAAAAAAAAACACAGTATAAAATATAATTATACCGTCTTTATTTACATCATGAAAATTGATATTAGTTTGTTGTTTTTATGATTATCTTTTCATTTCAACCACCTATATATAAAAAAATGTTTATTCGATTCTTATACTAATTTAATAATGAAATAAACACTCCACAAATTTAATATGTCTAAGATTCACATCATTAAATTCTCAACAAAAGATAGTTTTATAATGCATGTAAAATTGAAAAGAGTGTTCTAATATATTTTTGAGTCTCAACTGTATGTGTTAGTAGAGTTATAGAGTATATATTTTTGATATTGAGTGTAGAAGTTTATCAATCAGATTTCACATTAACTTGATAGTTTTTATTCTGTTAGAAAATATGAGAAATTGAAACTTTTATCAAGTTTTTGTTATTTTTTACAACTATGAATAAAATGAAAGGTTTATACTAGAGTCCTGACAATTCAAAATCAGAATCGGGTTAAACATGCAAAACTCTCGTTTATACTGAATTAATGACATTTATTCGATATTATTGTGTTGTTAGATATCTATTAAGGGTATCCCCCCCTCTTTTTTGCGGGTGGTCTCATTTTGAGCTGAACACAGTCTAATGTATAGAAAAATCTGGCGATAAAATGAGACCACTTCCAGCTCTCCGTAATATTCCTTGAAAAAGTTATGGAGTTTTTGAATTTTTCCTTCAAAGCCTAGAAAATCTTAGTTTTTCAGTTTCGTAAATTTTCCTCTCCTTTTCTACACATTTAGAAAGTTTTCTTATCAACAGCATGAGAGAAGAAAGTGTGCTCTTCAAAATGAAACGTCTCACAGAATTTTCCAATGAGTTTTTGTGAGATATAAGCATCACCGCAAATGCCTTGAAAAACCGAGCCCTGTGGTACAATGTGTTCATTTTTTCATCATCAGTCATTTTTTCGAGGGGTCATAATGTGGCCTGATGAAAACTGAAGTTTTCCAGAAAACCCATAGAAGAACACGTCAGAAAATTCTGGGCAAAAATACATCGATTTTCTTTTTCGATGTTCTATCTCTGGTATAAATTAGAACCC